GGAAAAGGCTCTCAAAGTTTTGGAGCTGAAGAAACCAAGAGGAGAGAAGGATCCAAGAAGAAAAGCTAGGAATTGAGGTAAGAATCCAACTAGTATGCATTAACTAGTTTTATCATGTATGATTTTTAAGAAATCATATGAAGGATTAAACATGATGTTCTACACGTTTAAAAAGTGTAGAATATTGATGTAAAGTGGTGTTAATTTACTTAGAAGAGTTGGTGAATCGATAGGAGTCGAAATCGCCGGAAACCGCCACATATAGGGAGCTGTTCGTATCTGCAGAACACGAAAGCCGCCCGGCTTTCGTGAAAGCCGCCCGGCTTTTGCCCATGCTGCCCAGCTTTGCCTATTTATCGGTTTAAAACGAGGATTAATCGGGGAGTTCAACAAAGGCAACTATTTCAGCACATCATAAGGTGAGGATGGCTGACTATATTGCTTATAATTAGTGAGTTAATTTCATGAGATTACCGAAGGTAATTAAAAGTTTTTTTATGGATTATTAATGATTAATAATGCCTAAAAATGAAAAGACTAAATGTCTAAAGAAAAAGGGAGCATGATATACAAATTTAAGAGTAAATTGTGTATGTTCATGTGTTATGAGTATGTTGACTTGAAAGTGGAATTTATTATGAAACATATGTTGAAATATACTTTTTCTTCATATTAGAATATATGAGTGATTAAAAGTGATATTTTGAATATTGAGATAAATGATATTTTTCAAAGGAAAATCAGTTGGAATTGTCTATATGACTATGAGTTGAGAACTTGGTTTGTTGATATTTATTTGACTAGTATTAAGATACTAGTTGGACATTAAAATGAAATGTTGTTAAGATTGACCCTAAGGTTGGATTGTGAAATGTTATGCCTTAAGTAGTCTTAAGAGATGCTTTAAGGTAGGAAAGTATGAACTTTAAGTTATACTAGAGGTAGGCCTTAAGGGATACCCAAGATAATGCAAATATTAAATTGATCCTAAGTATAGGATTGGCCTACGGGTGTGTTCGGTAGTCCTTGTGGATAGCCGGTCGAATTATGGAAATAGTAAGGACCATGGCCCTTCCCGACTCTAGAGAGAGGGGTTGGATAGCATGGACTTACATCGTGATCACGGGTTAGGGTGGAATCCGAATCGGAGACCTAACTAGGTTCCGGTAGCGGTAACACATAAGATAGGACCCCGAAGGGCCTTACCTTCCTACGGGAAGATGGGTATGAGTCCAGGGGCGGGATATTGGAGTCCGAACCGGGAGCCTCATGAGGTCTCGGACAGCGGTAGCAAGTCCCGTAGAAATAATAAGACCCAAGGGTTGAGTTGTGCAAATGATAAATGAAAAGGAATAAATAAGAAGGGCCGTGTGCCGACAAATAAATAAATTTACTTATTATAAAGATAATAAGTGGGAAATATAAATTATTATTTATATTATGATATCACCCTATTTTGAGGGTCTTGGAAATTAAAACGTTGATTATACTTAGTATAGTTGCTATTGTACTTGTCAAATATTTCCAAGTACTGACCTCCCCTTCACGGGGGAGGCCACCTCACAGTTTCAGGTAGAACTTGAAGGTTGCTACCGCCGCCCGTTGCTTCGGGAATATTCAAGGGAGAAGACGTGGTTCGTGCTTCTTCTGTTTCCTGTTTTCAAAATAATTATAACAATGCTCATGGACATCATTTTTGAATAATTACTTTGGGGGCTTGTATGCCTAGTTATGCCAAGTGTGGCTTGAACAATTGTATTAATGCTTCCGCTGTTTTAAATGCATGTTTTACATTATGTTTGTTTATGGATGTACTATGTGTGAATGATATTCATGACGCCTTGTATAGTATGGATGAGTTGAACTGCGGTTGACTATTCGTACTGTACGGCGGGTTGTTGACGTGTCCGGCTAGGTCCGGGGCGTGACAACACTGGTTTACAATTGTTTCTCTTGGAGTTCTCACCGGTCATTAATGGCGGACATTTTCTGAGGTTTGTGAAACCATGGGAGCTGAGGCCGACGAGCACTTCGCGATGGAGGTGGAGAACGGCGCTGCTAGCGATGGTGGTGGCCGGAAAACCTAGGTGAGGTTTTTTGGTCTGCGAGCTCTTGGTGGAGCATGGCGGCAGTACAGACGGCTGTTCCGGCCATGGTCAGTCAAATTCTAGATCTGGACTTCCCATGAACTTACCAGTGGCAGCGCACAGCGATAGATGCTCCTCCAGCGTTGGTGGTAAGTTTCGCGGCAGTAGCAGGAACTCCATATGGCGGAGTACGGCGATGTCTTTCGGCGATGGATTTGAATTCCAGCCCTAAAAATTCAGCATCTTCTTCTTCTTGCTGCCTCATCAATTTTTTGTTGTTGTTGGAAATCACCAAATAAGTCCAACTTCTGTATCAAATTCTTTGTAGAACATCAAGAACACGTCAATCTTTTAGAACTGTTTCAAATAGATGGCGCCAGTGTTGAGTTTATTCGCCGCAGCCCGAAAGTTCAACACCCCTTCCGGGAGGGTTCCGTGGCTATGGGGTGATAATACAATGTAGATAATGATTTTTACGTGGAAACTCGAAAAGGGAGAAAACCACTAGACTGTTTAGGCTAATGTCCAAACCCTCTCATTTTATTAGTACTCTCCTCCCCATTACATAATACAATATTGAAGCTCCCATTAATGGAGGAAACAAGCTACCTAGAGAGAGGGAGGAAGAAAAGGAACCGAAAAAAGGGATCCTTTATTAGGAGGGAAATCCTCCTATTTATAAGGGAAAGGGGGAGGGGTGCTCCACCCTAATGGGCCAAATGGGCCACGATGGGCCAAATGGGTCGATACGGGCCCGATAGGCCTAAAAGGACCTCACTGATCGGGCCTCACACTAAGTAATGTCTTGAGCTCTTGAACAGTGGTAGACCGAGGTAATATACATCAACACAGTTATTCCTAATATTCATCAAAATATTGTATCCACCCCTAAGATTGGAACAAGAGGAAGTCGTGCGGTTATTAAAAAATGTTAGATTGTGTAATTGTTATTGAGTTAGTAAAATATGAATATACTAATAAAGTAAGAGAATAAATGGTAAGCACTCAAATACGACTTTGTATCAAATACTATGTATCATATACGACAAACTTAGTGCAACAGATGAAAAAAGTTGAATTGACTGAATTAAGAAAAAATTACTCTATTGAAAATAGCTAACATAATTTGTCATATTAACTTCAATCAATTCAGTCACACAAGTAAATTTAACTTTACTTATTTTGATTATTATACAATTTAACGCGTAAAATAAAAAATTACGTTTTTGAAAAAAGTTAACTGGAAAGGTAGACAAGAAAATGAAAGTTACGAAATAGCGTCTAAGTAGGTACACCACTAATATTCAATGGAAAAAAGAGTGAAAGTGAAATGTCAACACGCCCAAAAGAGAAATACACAAAACACTTAAAATCAAGTAACAAATCCCTAATGTGCGGGTGGTGTAGCTCAAGTGGTAGATGAGGGTGCTTCAAGGGGTAAGTTTCATATTAGCATCTCGACAACCGTAATGAGAAGTTACTATGTAAAAATGCATAGAATCTCTGCAAATGTTTGAGCTAACTCTCACTCACTATCTATCAATTTGTAATAAAGTCTGCTTCGCATCTCGACAACTGTGAATAGAGCTTCATCTCATTTACAAATCCCTAAGGATATGTTTTGGAGTTTGAAGGGAAGGGGAGGGAAGGTTTTGAAGGTTAATCATTGGAAGGGAAGGGGAAGGAAATGGGAGAAGACCCTTCTTCTTGTTTGGGAGTAACAAATTTGAAAAGATAAAGGTTGTGAATGAGTTATAATTAAAATCATTTCATATATATGATGAATTCAAATAGTTGAATATATATTACTTTAAAATTGAGCTAACATTTTTCATGTAATTAACGATCTTTAAAAATCCTTAGGTCCAATTTGGGGGAACTTTAAAATGAAGCATTTGAACGGTTTTGGAGGGTCACAAAAGCCCTCCAAAATCATCCCCTCCATATTTTTAAACTTTCAGACATGAAAGGGAAGTCATGAACCCTTGTCAACCTTCCTTTCCCCTCCAAAACTCAACTCCCAGACACACCCTAAGGGCATGTTTGGGAGTTTGGAGGGAAGGTAAGGGGAGACTTTGAAGGTATGTTGTTGGAGGGGAAAGTGAGGGAAGGGTGAGGAAGTCCTTCTTTGTATTTGGGAGTAATAAAATTGGAAGAAGAGGGTTTTGGAAGGAATTATAATTAAAATCACTTTGAAATATGACAAATTCAAATCATTGAGCTGATATCATTTCTAATTTTGCTTAAATTATCATTTTGTTAATTATCCTCCAAAATCCTCCAAATTGGGGGAACTTAAAAATTAAGCATTTGGAAGGTTTTGAAGGTTACAAAAGCCCTCCAAAATAACCCCTCCAATTTTTTAAACTCCCAAACATGAAAATGAAAATCATAAACCCCCATTAACCTTCCCGTCCCCTCCAAAACCCAACTCCCAAACACACTCTAAATGTACAAAACACATAGGAAACTGGGAAAATTAGAGATGTAACACATGAGGGGCAGGTTAACACACATTTGTATCTAGTACTCTAGCAGGCCACTAAAATTACAAGTTGCATAGTACGTACCTAATATAATAATGCCCACTGACAACGACCTTATTAGCTTACGAACACACAAACCAAATAGTGAGACGTACAATTCATGGAGTATCTATACATCCATCCATCTACCATCATCTATTATTCTATTCCATTGCACATGCGCCACAAATCCATAATTAAGTGCCAAAGCCGACCCCCACACATACTCCTCATCTCTCACGGGCCCTCAATCCCGACCGGACGGTACCTTATCCCTCCTTTATAATATGTTCCTTACCTAATAATCTCTATAGCTCCTGAATCCTCATCAAGGCAAATAAATTACGTACAAATTCAATTCCATTAACGTGAAGTGGCCCGCGGTCACCTCTCCTTAAAAATTTTCAGCCATTCCTTGCCAGCCAGATCTACCACCCTACCTCCTCACATGCATAAAATGCATTTATTAAGTGTGTCATTGCTTTACAATAACTCATTTCTGAATTATGATCAAACACTATTCTCCGGTAAACGAGTCACACGTCAACCGGGCGACGCGCCGATGAGCCGCGTGCCTCCTGGCTTGGGTTTGGAGGGCGACACGTCCCGGCCCGGTGGACACGATGGTAGAGTAATTGCTGCTTGGACTATAGGTTTGGACATATGAGCTTATTCTATATAGGGTATACCAAGTATTATGCACTATGCACAAAGTTTTGAGTTTCGCGTGTAGTTTGAAACATGACTGTGTTAATAAAATTGAAACTCAGTCAATACCAGGGGCAAATATAAAAAGGGGTCAGAGGAGACTTTTCCCCCAAGATAGTACATATTGAATATTCAGAGGATAGTACATATTTGAATATGTACTATCCTCCGTTCCATAAAAGTTGCAACAGTTTGACTTTCACGTTTGCCAACGCGCAACTTTGACTGTAATTATATTTATTTACGTATTAGTAAACATTAAAAAAAGTTAATATATTGGAAATTTACACTAATACAAATTTATTAATATTTTATACATAATATTTTTATTATATATATTATTAGAAAATCATAGTCAAAGTAAGGTGTGTGAATAGTGCAGAAATTCCAATGTTGCAACTTTTATGGAACGGAGAAAGTATAATTTACAAAAAATGTTGATGTTTTAACTTTTTTGGCCCACAATGTAACTTTTTTAAACTTTGAACCCCTTAATATATTTGTGGCTGAGCCACCCGTCAAGGGACATCATTGGTGTATAGTGTAAATTTGTTTGTCTTTCTTGTGTTGATTTTTCTTAGTCATTAGAGTTTAGTATCTCTTTTTATTTGTTAATTAGCCCATTAATGACACGACCATTATACTTTCTTCGTCCCAAACTGTTTTGCAAAGTCAACATTTTTTTATCAACCAATAATAAAAGTGAATCTTCCCTATCGATAATTAATTCAATTTTTAATAATTAAAATTTACATATTCATAAACTACATTAAAATCTCTTCAAATTTGTAAACTCCAAATTAGGATATACAGAGTAATTTACCAGTGATATCCTAATTAAGCGAACAAAACGAAATTGTTTGACCAAAAAAAGTCAAAATTGCAAATCAATTTGGGACGGAGGTAGTAGAACTTTTCTGATGTCTAAAGTATTTCACAATACTACATACCAACGAAACTGGACTCATACACAATATCATTATCTTCTATCTATGATAAATAGTCATACATACTCATTGACTCATACATGACTTCGTGCAGCAATATATTATGGTTCCAAAGATTTTTTTTGTGTCACACGTTTAATCTTTGACCAGCTAAATCACATCTAACTTGAGCAAAACCGATCCTAGACTTGACAAGATCAAACTCAACCCACACATTCTGCTGGTGATGATGTCCAATCAAATATGCCTCGATCCCTAGCAGCTCCGAGTTGCCAAACGTAAAGCAGTTGATCGAATCGTTGCCCCGGACCTCGCCCGGGACACGATATAGCAGCCCATTCCCCCACACCTTTATCTCGGCCCCTTTGAACAATAGTGTTACCGAGGGCAACCTCGGTAGCCTCGTTTGGTTCAAAGGGACCCGATAACACAAGTCCATCGCCCCTTGGAACACGAAATCCGGGTCGTCCAGGACCCGAAGGAGTCCCGTTGTTTGGTTCAAGAACTCGGCCCTCAGCGCGGTGTATGCCTCCCCAAGAAGGAAGGTGAATTGGGTTCCCGAGTCCACCATGGTTTGACCCGCACCACTATGGTCGGGTTCGAATACAGATTTTGGTACCGGGAGCCATTTGTTAGACACTTTTATACCTTCAAGATGGACGGTATATGCTACCCGGTCAAAATAAGGCAATGGGATGTCGATCTGAACCAGCGGGGTGTAATTCAGAGGTAAAGCCCAGGTGAAGTTTGAATCTCCGAGCAGTAAGAGACCGGAAAAATCCGAGCTTGAAATACAGTATGAGAACTTCTTGAAACCCATCTGAGAGACGAAAGACAGAGATCCACGGTTCATACCCATCAGCCCGGTGGTCTTCGAATCTTCGTCCGAATTGCTACTGAACCCCGAATTCATGCACCCGAATATCGTATCCGTGAAGTTGGACCCAGCAATGCTGAACGTATCCATCGCCAAATTCCCCTCGGAGGACGACGCGTCGGCGTACGAGAGCACGGCGTGGCAGAGGTTTTTGGAGTCGCAGGAAGCCGGTATGGAGAAGTCCTGGGTCCGGATAGTGCAGGTCGGCGACGAGCAGGCCACTGGCGTGTAGGACAGCGACCGGTTTGGGTAAAAAACGGGTTGCTTAATCTGGGTCTCGTTGCACCGCAGGTAAGACAGCTCACTCCCGGTGTCGAGCACCATCGTCACGTTCTGCGGCGGCGAACCGACGGTCAGAGACACCGTGAGGGTGACGTTGTGGGTGAAGGGCAGCCTACGTGGAGCTCTGGGAAAGGACCCGGAACTGATTTCTTGAATCTTCAGGGGTAAAGCCATCGATCTTGAAAGATCGCCCATTTCCAGCCTTACAGCACAACAACTCAGGCAACTCGAAAAGCCAAAAACCCAAAAAATCAAGAAACGTTGTAGGCTCATCATGAATGTTCTTGATTCGATGATTTTCGATTTACAGAGATGGGAGTTGTTGGAATATGTGCATGTGAGCATTGGATCTGAGGAAAGCAGAGGTTTTTTAAGCTAAGCTCATCAGGGGATTCACCCTAAACGGGATATTTGAGGCAAAATTACAAAACTGATTTGAGGAATTGTCAATGACGTACAGACTGCCCACGACGCCGTTTTCATGAATGTCATCACTTTTTACTGCCATGTTTTGGCCGGGAACAAAAGCTCTTTTACAAAAATAATACATGTCAATGTTTTTCTCATTTATATTACCTATTTAGTTCTAGATTAGGAAACCTATTTCTAACTTTCCAAATTTGCCCTTCAGGGCTTTGCTCCCAGATTTGCCGATTGAAGTTCAACGCCTCCACCTTCTTCTTTGTTCGCTGCCCATTTTCGATTTTGCGGCCGTCGTCTTTCTTCGCCAGTTTCGCCTCCACCATCGTCGGATCTCCTTGCCGATTTCAGATTGTAAAGTAGATAGCATGTTTTCGATCATCTCTTCTTCTTCCTCCTTCCTCTGATTCTTCTTCTTTTCTTTTCTTTTCTTCCTCCTCCAACCTACGACATCCTCCTTATTCCTTTGTTTTCTTCTTCATTTGTTTTTTTCATTTCTATCTAGAATCTGAAAACTCATATTTGGAACTTTGAGGCTTGGTTTTTTATTTTCTAATCTGACTTTTGTTTATTTATTGTCTACTTATTGTATATTTATTGTCTATTTAATGTCTGTTATTTTCTAAAAGTAAGGGTATTGTGGTCAATGCAAGTGTAGTTGAGTCTTACGCTAATCTTCGGTCTTAATTTTGGAAAATCCGTACGTTTTGCTCCTACTTGTTGAAATCTCCCGTTTTGGCCCAGTACCAGACTTCAAACATGTCAGTATTTTCTAAACATGTCAGTAATTAGTCCTATTTTGGGAATAAAAAAATTGAAAGTCTTATTTTGAAATTTTGAAACTGTTTTAGTCCTATTTCGAGAACTTACCCTTCAAAATATCTATGGCGCTATTGTAGGACTTGATAAAGCGCGATATACTTGTATATGGACATTTTAGTTGTTGATATCAATGGACTATTTAATTTAAGTACTTCCTTTTGTCCTTTTCAAAGATTATTATAAATTTTGATCTACTATTTTATATGAAATTTAATAAATTTATACTTTTATGATTATATTTTTAACAAAAAATATTTTATATGATTTTCATAATATCAATAAAAATCATATATAAATATATAATCGATCAAAGTTTAATATCATTGAGGTTAAAAGTCCAATTTGACTAAAAAAGGAAGGAAGAAGAATTACAGACTCGGACCAGACTACATCAGACGAGACGAGACCAGACTTAATCAGATCAGGCCAGACCAAACCAAACTTAAACAGACCAATCCATACCAGACTTAAATAGACCAGACCAGACTTGACTTTCATAGTTATAAAATACATAGAGATTAGACGTTTACCGGACCAAATCAGACCAGTTCAATTAAAATACACAGAGACCAGACGTTTAAACAGACTAGGCCACCTTTTCCATCTATCTTTTCTAAGAGCTAGTTTTGAGCCACTTCAAACTTTAAGGTCAAAACTCCAACACCGAAGGTCAACGCTTCCAAGAGTCAACTCTGAGATTAAAAAAACACTAAAAAAATCAAAAAAACATCAAAGACTATGTTTTCTCAAAGTCCAAGCTACACTTCAAGGTCTAGGAATATGCAGAAACTTCAATCAACCTCACCTCAATGATCAACATTCATCAATCAACAATGAATGCCTGCTCTAGGTCATCCTTGTGTAAGAATCAATGTGCTAAAATTTCTTATAAGTTTGAGGTAAGAAATTCTGACAATCAGAAAATCACTAAGGGATTGGAAGAGAGATTAGAAAACAACCACAAAGTTTTACTCAAGCATTTTTATAAGAATGCCTTAACCACTCAGAAACTTAAACTATCTGAAGAGAATTAAAGTTAAGAAAAACTAGAGTTAAAAATCTCATATCTAACTAAAAGATTGAGTGAAATTGAGGTGGATCTATGCACAACACGGTCTATAAAGACAACCCTTCATGAACAAAGAAGTGCCCTTTACAGAAAGATCAAAGAACTAGAGGACTTGATTGTTAAAGGAGGTCAAACAGAACAAACTATTTTTCTAAATCAACCCAAGGACTCTTTTATACAATTCAAAGGAAGGGATTGGTTTGTTCAACCGTGTAACTTGAAGAAAGTTAATTATCGTCAAATTTATGACGTCAAGTACATGGGACTTGGACTAACCAAGCTAATGTCATTCGTGGCAGCGAAAGAAACTGAGGAACTTGAGGATTGAGATTTGACCTTTTATCTCCATCTCAAGATAATGTCATTTGTGGTAGCGAAAGAAAGAATGAAGCAAAAGCACAAGTCACTTTTGATTACTCTACACTTAAGAAGAGTTGCAACACAAAAGAAATCTCTTTTTCCTCAGATTGAGATTTGACCTTTTATCGTCCTGAGAAGGAATATGTGCCACACTTTGAAACACCTTCTACCTCATAGTCCACAAATGATGAAGTTTACATCCCCTCTTGATAAAAATGATTGCAGACTTACACATTACTTTAGAAAATGAAGGAAAAAGTTTTGAATCTAAAAGGGAAAGACTGCTGAGTGAAATCACCATTCTTAAAGAAAAATCTCAATCCGACACAGCTTCCTCCTCATCAAACAATACTTGTTCTGAAAATATTTCTAATAATCGGCCTCATTGTTCTGAAAAAGTAGGTGGTGTCCACTTACTCCGAGTTTCCTATCAAAGAAGGAAACAATGTAAGTAAGAGATCGGAGAGGAGAAGGGAGTGGATACAAGAGAGGAGAAAAAGTCAAGCAGAAAAACAAATTAAAAGATTTTTTCAAAAATGAAGAAAACCTGCTTTAGTACTTTGTTTTATGCCAAGTGTTGGAGAAACTATGTTTTTTCTTTGAATTTTCGAAATTAAGAAATTAAGAAAAACAGACGAAAGAACTGGCACAGGTTCAATCAAAGCATGTGCAACGCACACTATCCTTAAAACTAGTTCACTACCTCCCACGGTGCTAGGAGCGTTGCAGTGTCAGTTTCCGAGGATACGATGACTAACAAACAACCGTATCGAGCACTCAATATGTTGCTCCGTCAAACTGGAACCAAGGGTAGATCTCTGGAAGTTTTTTTAGAAGTTTGGCAGAGTTTTTCTTTTGAGGAGACTATTCAACGAGTATTTTTGTGTCCCAGTGGTTGTGTGAACTCAACTCATGTCAATCCAAAATCTGTTGTCAAGCTTTTATACGGGAGCAGGAGTCTTTGTATTAATTATGCATTCAACACCACACTTATTGTGTAAAATCGCCCATTAAACACACACTTATTGTGTTGTAATGGTTTTGAACGTTTCAGGCCATTAACCATGTAATTAAACCATATTTTAATCACATTTTTCAGTTTCTAAACGTTAGACAACGTTCCAAACTCTAGCAATTCGAGGAGAGATTAGAACGACTATTAACCGACGGTAGTTCTACGTTTAGTTTCACCTTCGGAAATTTCTAACTTCTCCATTTCAATGAGTGAACTTCGAGAATCAATTTCTCATTCACCCATTATCCATTTTAAGTATACCACATATCGAATTGAACCCCTTACAAAAAGGAGAATCCGAAACCACTTTGACCAAACCCAAATCGGAAGTGGACCCCACTTAAAATACTGTCCGAAAATAGCCATTTAATGCAATTTTAATACAATTTCCAACAGTAAGAACAATCTAGTAGTTATGTTTCAGACCTTTTCCCTAAGTTTAATGCTTCTAAGACCTCTTCTGAACATTTTCCGTCTTTGGATCATGTTGATGTTTCAAACTCAAGTAATTGTGTTTCTAATTATTGATTCCATCTCTAATGATTCAAATGTGAATGATGTTGTTAATAACTCTCACAAGAAGCCAAATTGCTGGTTTTTGACTTGTAATTGGAGGTTTTGACCATTTAATCGGTTTTTGACATGTACAAATACAAAAGAAAGTTTTTTTGGAAACAATAGCATCTCAACAAATACAAAATTTAAAAGATAGAAGCAAGAAAGATGAAACATATTACATGTGAGTATGAATAAGAGGCATGCACTCAGCTAAATTCATTCTTCCTCCTCCTGGCTCCTTGATAAGTTCATATTTTAACACACAATTGATGCGTGCTGAGATTGAGATTGAGCTTTGCCACTTTTCCAAATATATATGCGTCACAAAGCGTTTAATTAGCTCAAGTCACGGTTTACCGGGTTTGGTTTGCATTTTTTGTGTTTAGAAGAGAAAATCAAGAATTTGAACCCTGCATCGGCGTTGGAGTTTAATTTGAGAAGATTTGGGACTCTTTCGAGAGATGACAAGAAGCATCGGGGATCCACGGGACGATTAAGGAACATGATTTGAGTCATAAGAGGTCAAAGACTTAAGATGGGATCGATCGGGATCGAACGGGGAAGAAAAGAGCAAGAAAATTGTTCAAAAGAGGTCTGCGCGCCCTGTGGGTGATTCTGAGAGCATGAAGTTCAAAAGTCTTAACCGCACGCACGCCCCGCGGGTGAAGCCGCATGCCTCGCGGTTCAAAACACACCCTTAGGAGTAATAGAATAATAATAGGGATATTTATGTTCTTTACATTTAAAACTCTTTTACTATAAATATATCTGTCACGGCTCCTTAGAGAGCATCTTGTTCCATTATTCTCACATGGTATCAAGAGCACAGTAAAAACCCTAGTTTTTTTCCGTTTCCCTTCCATTCGGCGCAGCTTGGCTTACCCTAGAGCCTCTACCGCCTCCGCCTCTCAACCTACGCCACCGCCGCAGAGCTGATGACTTCCGTACATATCTCTTCCGCAACGCCTACCATGGCGACAGGTTCCGCCACATCCAGCTCCTAAGTCGCGGCCAGTGCAACGTCATTGATGGATAGTGTACCCAGGGGGTAGCTTATCTGAGGAGTTATTACGGGGAATAACTTAGAGAGAAGTCAAAGCAATAAGTAAGAGAGAGAGTCTATATTCGAGTATGGAAAGTTGCGTTGTGTCGATTACAATGGAGAACGACTGCTATTTATAGCAGTCATCAATGCTAGGCGCATGGACACGTGTCAAGCATCTGACGGCCGAGGGTCACCTCAATTGGGGTGGCACCAGCAATCGCATATGCACCGTATTAAATGCGGTGGTTGGACGTGACGCCGCATTAAATGTGGTGGTTGCCTGTCTCTTAAAGGAATCTTCATCAAATCTGCTATTTGCCGAAGGCCTAGGTGTGGCCGAAGGCATGATACAAGTACTGAAGGCAACATATAGTCGAAGGCTATACATAGCCGAGGGCGTGGAAAAGACGAAGGCTAGCTTTTTACCCAGAAATTCCCAGAAGCTTTGTAGGTCCATATCCAGTTGTCTTCTAGAATTTGAAGCCCTCGGCCATAGGGCCGAAGGCGTCCACATGTGCACCGTGATCTTCTATATGTTTGGGCCGCTGTGTTTCGAGCTTTGTGCGCTCATTGGGCTTGATGGGCCCGTATAGGAGAAGTAGGAGTCTGTGGGCCGGGGGTCTCTGGGCCATATACTCCATCAGGAGTCCCTCACTCCTTTTACCGAAAGGTACTTGAGGGAAAAGGAGCAATTGTGGTTGTTCTGCCGGAGGCGTCTTTGTTGCGAGAGTTTCCTTCCATTGGCTATTTGCGTTCTGGTGCTGCCGAAGGGAGCTTGTTGGAGATATTTAATTGTGAATCAAGTTGGTCATAGATTAGCTTTATGACCAAATCTCGATACCGGGCCTCCTTTATCGAAATCTGAAATTTCGATATTCAGATCTCGACATCTGATTTTTCGACTTTCTGCCTCTGAAAATCTTTTGATCAATTTTCTCGAACGGTCAGTTTAGTACAGCAATGGCTTCAGAATACAATGCACAAGGGAACAGCAGTACCCCTCCTAGCTTCAGGAAGGGTGAATATCAAATGTGGAGGAACAGATTTCTTAATTTCCTCGAGCACAAAGAGAACTCCACTGCGATGCTTGAATCATTGCTTGAAGGACCAGCTGAACTCTTGATTTCAGTTGGTGGAGATCCAGAAAATAATCCTCCTATTTTTCCAGAAATAAGGAGGAAAGTGCCATCTGAATACACAGAAGCTGACAAGCTCAGACTTCGTGGTGACCTTATGGCCAAAACATACCTTCTTCAAGCAATACCAAATGAAGTTTATGTTCTCATTGACAGCATGCAGACAACTAAGGAAATGTGGGATGAAATAGAAAAACTGCTACAAGGCACAAGCATCAGCCTCAAAACCAAGAAGACTACGATTCTCATCGCTTATGACTCCTTCAAAGCAGGTCCAGGAGAACCATTGAATGAGACTTACAACAGACTTGTTCAACTGGTAAATGAACTCAGAAAGATCAAAGTATTCAGGTCCAATCTGGAACTGAATATTAGATTTTTATCCAGCCTGCATCCTGCATGGGAAAAGACAGTGAAGGATGTCAGATCTCGGATATATTTGGACGAAATTGACCTCTGCACACTCTATGAACATCTGAAGCAATTCGTCAACGAGGTTGCCTGTGCTGAGGATCATCACACCACAAACCCCTTAGCTCTAGTAATGGAGGCTCAGCCAAGAAGGACAACCACTTCACTAAAGAAGAAAAAGAAGAAGGTAGTGGTTGAATCAGATGATGATGATAGTGATGATGACAAATCTGATCTAGAGGCTGAGCTAGCAGACTTACAGAAGAAGATGGCACTGCTTGCCAAAAGATTAGCTAAGAAGAACAGCTCCTCCAACAAGCTGAGAACTTCCTCCTCAAACTACAAGCAGAAGAACCATGATCAAGGATCTTCTAGGAAGGCATCATCAGCAGAAGAAGCTCCTAAATGCTATAATTGCGGAAAGCCTGGACATGTGATCAAAGACTGCCGCCTCCCAAAGAAGAAAGATGTTAACTTCTACAAGCAGAAGATGTTGTGGAATAAGCAGAAAATGCTGATGGTGCAGAAAGAAGAAGAAACCTCTGCCATGATTGCTGAGAATGAGAACTGGGCAGAAGATTCTTCTGAGGAGGAGGAGGAAGACAACTATGCCCTTATGGCACGTGTGGAGGGAGATGAAAGAAAGGGTGATGCTGCGATCCCCGAAAGCGAGTGCTCAACAAGCTCTGTAAGTACCTCACATACTTCTTTAAATAATCAAATGCAGTCCTTACTTGAAAAGGACAATCTAATCAAAGAACTAAAGGAGAGACTAGACAATAATCATAGAGTACTGAAACAGAATCTAGACCAAAAGTCTTCCTTAAGTGTTCAACTTGAAATTGCAAAAGATCAAGTCAAAAAGGTGTCCTCAGATTTTGAAAGCTTTGAACTGAAGATAGCTGAATTAACTAGGAAATTTGAGGACAGTGAACGGGAAAAAAGCACAGCAAAAGCTGAATGCGATTTTTTGCATAACAAAAGAAGAACGCTTTTAAATAAAGTAAAAGAACTAGAAGATCTAGCTGCTAGAAGAGGTCAATCTGAACAAACTGTTTTTCTGCTTAACAGCAAACAAAAGGATGACCGATTCTACAATGCTAAAACAGGACTGGGCATAACCAACCCACGTAATCTTAAGAAAGTTAACTGTCTTCAAATCTATAACAAAGATTACATGGGACTAGGGTTTGGCGAGAAAATGTATTTTCGAAGTGATGAAGACTATGCTGAAGCAGAAGAAGAAAAGAGAAAGAATCCAAAACCTGCGATTTCTTGTGATTATCCCTCTGTAAATGAAAAACAACTTTCAGAAGAAAAACCTACTTCCTGCTTTAGTGAATGCCTTGACCCTTATGCTAAAGATATTCCTCACATAGGACACCCTCTAGACCCTCCCCCAAGAGTAGGTATTGCTAAAACTGGTGAGGAACCGTGTATATTTCCCATGGCTCAAAAGCTCTAAAACCTACAGAAAACTCTTGATGACGAGAGAGAGAGATTTGAAACTGAAAAGAAAGGTTTTGAGCGCAACTGGCAGGAACTTCTTCAAAAGTTCAATGATTTGAGTGAGCAGTTTCATGCTAAAACAGACCCTTCTACGACTAAATCTGACAGCTCACACACCTCACATGAGAAAACCAATGTTTTAAAAGGTTCGTCCACTCATCTCTCTTCTCCTTTGTTTACAGGGAATGAAGTGAATAAGGAAGGAGAAGAGAAGAATGAGTGGAGGAAAAAGAGGAAGGAAATCGCAGATGGCAAAAAGAAAGTTTTTGAGAATAATGCCAGCCCTAGATCTAGTTCTATTTTTTACTCCAAAGTTAATTGTAATTCTGTCTCTACAAAACAAACTTCTAGTAGTTCAGTCTTGAGTCCCAAGCTGAATATTTCTGAGACATCTTCTAGACAACGTTCTATTTATAATACAAGTGTTGCTTATGATTATTCTGTTCCAGATCCCCATAATTATGAATGTGATGTGAATGTTGTTAAATCAAAGCCTTCCAGAAAGCTCAAACCTGAAAAAGAAACCAAGAAAGGAACTACTAAGGGAACGTTTTGTATTCCTAATATGAAATATGCCCTTAGAGTTCATTCTAGGAAACATCTTAATCGGCTTTCTAAGGAGGAGATTTTCAAAACCAAACTTAAGAAACAACCGTTCAATCACAAATCACCTGTCTACTCTCCTCCTAAACCTAAAACGGAAAGATGGGTCCCCAAAATAAGACCCGTCAAAGCTGAAACTGAGAGGTGGGTCCCTAAGATGAGACCTACCAAAACTGAAACAGATAGGTGGGTCCCCAAACGAAGACCCATCAAAACTGAAACTGAGAGGTGGGTCCCCCAAGATAAGACCCATCAAAACTGAAACTGAAAGGTGGGTCCCCAAATGCAGACCCATCCAAACTAAAACTGAAAGATGGGTCCCCAATCGAAAACCCATCAAAACTGAAACTGAAAGGCGGGTTCCGAAATTTAGACCCACCAGAAGTAAAATGGAAAGGTGGGTTCACAACATCAGGCCCACCAAAATGGAAACTGCTAGGTGGACTCCAAAAACCAGACACACTGCAAAAGCAGAAATGGCTATTGGAAAGCCCACCAAAGATAGATCTTTTGTTGAAAGAGCAGCTGACCTTGGATCACTGCTCAAAGCAAGATTTAAAAAGGTGTTTCTTGATAATAAGGAAGGACCCACTCCAAGTTGGGTACCTAAACCTGTTTGATTGTTTTGCAGGACGGTCATGTGTGGCACTTAGACTCAGGATGCTCAACCCACATGACCGGAATAAAGCACCTTTTGAGCAACTACACCAACTGCTACGGAGGCAATGTCAGATTCGGGAATGACGCCTCATCTCCTATCCTTGGGTATGGGGACGTCGTCTGTGCCAGTGTCACTATAAAAGGTGTTTCATTTGTCAAAGGGCTCAAACACAACTTACTGAGCATTGGACAATTCTGTGACAGCGGGATGGAAGTGAGGTTCTTTGCAAAACAATGTTGTGTTCTTGACAGCACAGGGAATACATTATTAACGTGTTACAGAACATCAAATCTGTACACTATTGATTTGAAAAGCGTGCAATCCACCACTTCCATCTGTGTGCTGTCCAAAGCTTCAACTGAACAGAACAACCTATGGCACAGACGTCTCTCCCATCTGAACTTCAAACATCTATCAACCTTGTCCTCCAAGAAACTTGTCAAGGGGCTTCCTCTGCTAAAGTCTTCCGCTGAAAATCATTGTAGTGCCTGCAAAATGGGCAAAATGACGCGAAGCTCCCACAAGTCAAAAACCGAACCTTCATCTACTCATCAGTTGCAGCTAATACACATGGATCTGTGTGGACCTATGAGAGTACAAAGCATCAACGGTCGCAAATACACTCTGGTGATCGTTGATGACTTCTCTAGGTATACATGGACAAAATTTCTCCGTTCAAAAGACGAAGCTGCGGAAAACATTATGACCTTTATCAGAACGATCCAAAAACTGCTACAGCACAGTGTTCGAATTGTTAGAACTGACAATGGTACCGAGTTCAAAAATCAGACTCTCACTGAGTTCTATGAATCACTCGGTATCACTCAGCAATTTGCAGCAGCTAAAACTCCCCAGCAGAACGGAGTTGTTGAGAGAAAGAACAGAACCCTTGTTGAAGCAGCGCGCACCATGTTAATTCAATCAAGACTGCCTCACTTCATGTGGGCAGATGCAATCAATACTGCGTGCTTCACTCAGAACAGAACATTCATCCACAAGCGCTTCGACAAGACTCCATATGAGATCCTATTCAACAAAACTCCTGATATTTCTTTCCTCAAGGTGTTTGGCTGCAAGTGCTTCATACTCAATGATCGGACAGAGAGAAGTAAGCTGGATCCCAAAGCCAGAGAAGGCGTGTTCATTGGCTACTCACTGCAATCCAAAGCTTACATAGTCTATCTCAGAGACAAGCGGACTGTCATCGAGAGTGTAAATGTTACATTCTATGAAATGGCAGACTTTGCTATTGAACATCTCCAGACCGATCCATCAACTGCTGTACCAGTAGCTTCTGATAAAGCTGAACCAAACACCGAACACGACGATGTGATTCTCGACTCTCTCTTCAGAAACTTCTACGAGAACTCACAACCTCCACCTCCTGCATACACTCCAGAGTCAACATCAACTCCAACAGCAGAGATTCCGCTCCTCACAGGAACAGATGATGTACCATCCACACCCTCCACCCCTCAACTCAATCCCAGAGGTGTGGATGATCACGGCTTTGCTATAAGTCCGGAATCATCTCCATTACACCCCACAGCTGATCCAGAGCCTTCAACCACATATCAGGACTCCGATCAACCAATAATTACTCCAACTCCTCTAGCTCATGAGAGGAAGTGGACGAGAGCACATCCCGTTGAACAAATAATAGGTGATCCAAGTCAAGGTGTGCGAACAAGATCAGCAACAACAAATGAATGTCACTATGCATGCTTTCTAAGCAAGAATGAACCGTCCAAAGTCTCAGAGGCACTCGCTGATCCAGATTGAGTGATTGCCATGCAAGATGAGCTCAATCAGTTTGACAGACTAGACGTGTGGACACTCGTGCCTAAGCCCCCTCAGAAAACCATCATTGGCACTAAATGGGTGTTCAAGAACAAGAAGGACGAAGAAGGCATAGTGATACGCAACAAGGCACGACTGGTCGCTAAAGGATATAATCAGCAAGAGGGCATAGACTATGATGAAACATTTGCACCCGTAGCAAGAATTGAAGCAATCCGCATTTTTCTTGCGTACGCGGCCCACAAGAACTTTACCGTCTTTCAAATGGACGTCAAGACTGCCTTTCTGAATGGAGTCTTGGAAGAAGAAGTCTATGTCGCTCAGCCCGAAGGATTTGTAGATCCCAGATATCCCGACCATGTGTACAAACTAAAGAAAGCTCTGTATGGGTTGAAACAAGCACCAAGAGCTTGGTACGATGCCTTAACCGAATTTCTAGTTGACTCAGGTTTCTCAAAAGGGAAGATTGATACCACACTTTTCATCAAACGACAGAAGTCTGACATCATCCTGATTCAGATCTATATTGATGACATTATCTTCGCCTCCTCAAATCCACGTCTGTGCAAACACTTTGAGAAACTGATGAAAACCAAGTTCGAGATGAGCATGATGGGCGAACTGAATTTCTTCCTAGGCCTGCAAGTAAGACAACTCTCTGACGGCATTTTCATCAATCAGTCCAAGTATATTCTGGAAATGCTTAAGAGATTCAACATTGATGGCAAATCTTCCATGACTACCCCTATGTCCCCCAACAACAAACTGGACTCAGACCCCTCAGGGAAGCCAGTTGATGCTACAAACTACAGGGCCATCATTGTCTTCTCCACATGCTTATGTGCACACTTTCAGGCGCATCCGAAGGAATCCCATCTGACCGTTGTTCGAAGAATTCTGAGATACCTCAAAGGCACTGTGAATCTAGGCCTTTGGTATCCCAAGCACTCAGGTTTTGACCTAGTCGGATACTCGGATGCTGACTTTGCTGGTTGCCGGATGGACCGCAAAAGCACATCGGGAGCCGTCCAATTCTTGGGCGATAAGTTAGTCTGCTGGTCTTCCAAGAAACAGAACTGTGTGTCAACATCTACGGCCGAGGCAGAATACGTCGCGGCTGCTAGCTGTTGTTCACAAATATTATGGATGAAGACCCAGCTAAAGGACTACGGTTACACTTTCCGCCATATCCCGATCTACAGTGACTCACAGAGCGCCATCGCCATCACCAGCAACCCGGTTCATCACTCCCGCACCAAACACATCAACCTGCGCTATCATTTCATCAAGGATCATGTGGAGAAAGGAGATATAGATATGTATTTTGTAAGCTCGGAGCTTCAACTGGCTGACTTGTTCACTAAGGCACTGGACGAAAAAAGATTCCAGTTCCTGGTCTCCAAGTTGGGCATGTTGAACCTCGAGCCTGTTTAATTTTTGTCTCCACTGATCTGCAAAGTGTGTGTGTGGGACTTGTAAAAAGTGTGTGTGCGTGTGATTTGTAAATAGTGTGTGTGCGTTGCATGTGTTGAGGGGGAGAAAACCAGAAAAATAACAAAAAATAGTGTGTGTGCGTTGCATGTGTTGAGGGGGAGAAAATAAAAAAGAACAAAAAAATAGTGTGTGTGCGTTGCATGTGTTGTGTGTGTGAAAAATCAAAAAGAACAAAAATAGTGTGTGTGCGTTGCATTTGTACATATTGTTTGTTGCATTTTTGAGGGGGAGAAAATTTTCACTGGTTGAGGGGGAGCTATTTTTCACTGATTAAGGGGGAGCTCTAAATTTTTTACTGTTTGGGCCTCGAAAATCTTTTAAAAAGGGTACTGTGTGTCAGCCCAATCATTCGGGCTCAACTTTACGAAGGAGGTCCATATTTTTTCTCGCGTATAAAAGCCTCACGAAAGCCCTTCTCCTTCTTTCATTCTGATTTTCTCAAAGGCCAAAAGTTTTCGCAAAAGCAGAGCTCTCAAACCTTCCGTCTTCATCCCAACCTTCGATCTCGCAATCTCCCTCTCTCTTTCTCAACTACCCTTCGAAGGTAGTTAACGTTCACAATCGCAATCATCCATCTCGAAAATGAAGGATCATCTCGAAAACCTATTTTCTTTTGTTCGTGTTCGAAATCCTGAAAAATAACGTTTGATTTCGCAAAAACCTTGAACTTTCTCCAAATCAAAATCAAATTAGGTTTTTTCGTTTGAATGTATGTCGAAATCGCTTGCTATTATCTGCTATATCTTTGTTTTTACAGGTGGAAAATCTCTTCAAATTTCGTCGGTTCATCTTCTCGAAATCAAGATCTCGAGATGAGCATCTCGACATCTTGATCTCGAGATGTGAATCTCGAAATCAAGATCTCGAGATCTGCATCTCG